TGCCAGCAATAGAGAGCAACACTGAGCTCCCAATATGATACCATTCCTTGAGACCAAATGTCAAGTTGACTACATTAGCCCCCTTCCATCCTGGAGGGACCAGCAGTTCCTTATCACAGAAATAGATACGTATTCTAGATATGGGTTTGCTTTTCGTACTCACAGAGCCTCATCCAGTACCACCATCTGAGTGCTTATGTAACGTTAGATTCAGTAGCATGGGATCCCACATAAAGTCACATCAAACCAGGGAACCTGTTTTACAGAAAAGGAAGTGTAAGAGTGGACCCATATCCACAGGATCCACTGATAATATCACATACCTCACCACCCAGAAACTGCTAGTCTGAGAGAGCATTGAAACAACCTGCTGAAGGAATAGCTAAACATCAGTTGAGAGGCTGTGCCCCGCAAGGAAGGGGGGCCATACTCCAAGATGTGTTATATGCATTGGATCAAAAGCCTTTATATGGCACTGTGCCCCAATACAAAAAATATGGGTCTGGGAACCAAGAGACGAAAGCAGAAGTACCCCCGCCCCTTATCATCACTTCTAATGACCATTATGGTACTTTATGCTTTCTATCTTCACAACTCTGAGCTCTACATAGTGAGAGGTCTTGGTCCCTAAAGGGGACACACTTTTGCCAAGAAATTAGCAAAAATTACATTGAAATACAAGCTGCAGCTGCCACCTGGATTCTCTGGTCTCCCGTATTCAGAGACCAGCTGGCAAGAAAAGGAGTCCCCATCTTGCCAGGGATGATTGACTCTGATCATCAGGAGGAGGTAGGGATGCTGGTACACAACAGAGGCCAGAGGGATGTGTGGAGCCCAAGTGATACCCTCACCAAATTGTGACTATGATGAATAGGTATAGCAACCCCACCCTGAAAAAGGCATGATGGCAGAAACTCAGACCCCTCAGAGAATAAGAGTCTGGGTTACAGCACCAAGTAAGCCACCAAGGGCAGCAGAGGTAGTAGCAGAGGGTGAGAAAATCTAGAAATGGTGGAGGAGGGGGGAGATGATGAGTATTGATTGTATTCCTGAGTCTGACTGCAGCAGCAGGGGCTGTGGTTTGTCCCACTAACCTTCATCTTCTAAGTTCCCCTGAGGAAAAGAGGTGCCTTCAATCCTGTAGGAACCGCCGCCTAACAATATCTGGAGAAATAGGCCTAAGTGGAGCAAGGGGTGGATTGTGGTAAGAAAAGAGATATGCCCAGATTCACTTCCAAGAAAGAACTTGCTGCCTGGCTGCAAGGAATGAGGTCAGCAATCTCCAGCTGTCAGCTTCTTCAGAGTCTGCATCAACTTCAGAGAACTGCTTTGCTTGAGGTTATGTCCTTCCCACATCTGGTGACTGAGTGAGGTCAGCTGAATGCAGCTGCAGAAGTGACTCTAGCACATATGGGGAGGAAAAGAGCTGAGCAGTCAAAACAGAGTCGCGTGAAATAATAAATCATCATTTCAAAACACTACATTTTGGAGTGGTTTGTTGTTCAGCAGTAGATACAGAAATTGGTGTCAGGTGTGGGGTGTTGCCATAACAAAAAGCTGAAACATGGTCTTGGCTTTAGGACTAGGTGGCAGGTGGAGGTTGGAAGAGTGTCAAGAATATGGTTAGTAGAGGCTGAAAAGGCAGTATGATTGGCCCTCCCAAAGATGTCCACATCTTAATCCCCAGAACCTATGAATGTGTTGCCTTATGTGGTAAAAGGGACTTTGTAAATAAGATTAAGGATCTTGTGATGTAGAGATTATCCTGGATTACCCAGGTGGGCCCAATATAAGCATAAGCGTCCTTAAAGTAGAAGAGGGATACAGAAGAGGAGGTCAGAGGGATGCGAAATGAGTACTTGACCCACTGTTGCTGGCTTTGCAGATGGATGAAGGGAACCACAAGCCAAGGAATGTGGGCGGCCTCTAGACGCTAGAAAAGGCAAGAAAACAGATTCCCCTCCGAAGCCTCCAGAAAGGAATACAGTTCAGCCAACACTTTGATTTTACTCCCGTGAGATCCATGTTGGACTTCTAACCTACAGAACTATATAATCATAAATTTGTGTTGGTTCACCCTGCTAAATTTGTGGTGCTTTGTTATAGAAGCAAGAGAAAAATCATACAGGTGGCTAGGAGGATATTAGCCAAGGCTTGAGGAATAGTGAACAAACTAGTAGAGGACGGAAAGGCAGTAAGGAAATTATTAAGTGCTGGAAAATGTAGGAGCTGAGTTATGTGGTAACGGAATGCTTGACAATACTTTTGCCTGCCATAACATAGAAGATAGAAAATGAACCTTATAAGTTTATAGATCTCTTGAGATTTCCAGGTGGGGTAGTGAAAGTACCAATTAACTTTTTATGGCTACTGATGATAATGTACAAGAAGAGAGAATTGAGCTAAAGAAGGAACTGTTCAATTTTAAACAAGATTTTAGAGGAAATATTTCCAACCCAGAACTTGTCGTTTCTTATGGAAAGGGATTGGAGGGTGGAGCCAAAATCCCAGAGTGAGGAACCAAGAAGCAAGGTGAGCTACAGATTAGGAAATCACCAGAAAGGGATGAACTGAACCACGACAAGGACTGTCCCTTGCCTTCAGTGTAGGGGCCCTGACAAAAATTTTAGTTTTGTGTCTCCTGTTTCCCTGACACCCTCTTTGATTGGGAGTGTCTGTGTTTTTTCTATCCTAGAAAACTTGGACTGAGAGAAGCCACTCCCGAGCAGCTGCACCTGAGGAACAATGCCTGAGGAATTTTACCCGTATCTAGATCTGATTTAAACAATAAGATACTGATCTTAAACTTATGCCATAGTAGGATGAGACTTTCAGGGTACAGAGTGAGTATATTTTTACATGTGGGTGGGACAAGAATTGTGGCCAGAGGGTAGACTGTGATAGAGAGTCTTTAAGGATGAGCCCCAAACAATTCCTCCCCTCCCACTACAAGCATACCACTCCTCCCTTCAAGGGTGAAATCCATTTTCCTTCCCCTTCAATCTGGGCTGGCCTTGTAACTTACTTTGACTGATAAAATGTGGTGAAAGAAAAGCCTGACAGATTTTGCTTTTGTGCTTTTGGATTCTTGAGCCGTCATGTTAGAATTCAGGCTATCCTGCTGGAGAGAGGGACCATGTAGAGAATCCCCAGAGACACCACATGGAGACAAAGGCCATATAGGGAAGAACTGAGATACCCCAGTCAATAGCATCAAGGTCCCAGACAAGTGAGAGAAGTCTTCTTGAACCTTCTAGCTTAGCTTAGCCATCATATGGTTGCAGCCACATGAGTGATTCTAGCTGATACCCTTTGGAGCAGAAGAACCACCAGTCAATCCACAGAAACATGAGGAATTTAAAAACAGATTGGTGCTTACCAGAGGAGAAGGGGGTGGGGGCAGGGCGAAAGGGGTAAAGAAGCACATATGTATGGTGGCAGACAGAGGTTAGACTTCTGGTGGTGAACATGATACAGTCTATACAGAAGCTCAGTGTACACCTGAAATTGAGTGTACAATGTTATAAACAAATGTGACCTCGATAAAATAGAAAAAAAGTAATACAAAGAAAAAATATGCCTCCAGCAAATAAATAAATAAGTAAAAATCATTGTTTTAAGCCATTAAGTTTTGAGATGGTTTCTTACCTAGCAATAGGTAATTGATATAGTGATCTTAGAGGCAGGGTTAATAAAAAGAGGTTATGAAGAAAAGACCTGCAGAGCTGGGGGCCTAGACGTCTCTTTTTATTTTGAATTGCCTGTGTGTTTCAGTCAACTATTTTCTTAAAATCTTTGTGAGCCTTCTATCACAAATCAGTGCACCTCATTAGACCAAAGCCACTTGTATAGACAGACCCCCTTTACCTTGGGCTGAGAATCAGGGTGCTTTAGGAAATACCCATAATACTCTCTAGCCCACAGGGCCTATGAGGTGTTGCTTGACATCATTCTAACATCTTAAAAGGTCTTACAGCCTCTGATTTATCATACCTCTGAGACCATATTTTACTGTTGGCACACTAGACTTCTGTCTTCGCCCTGAGACCATTTATGACATTGAGAATATTTTGCTGGCTGGTAAATTTGGGAATAAAAAATGGTAGAGAGTACTTCAGAGACTAATCGAGATGTACTGTGAGTTTATAGGAGGATATGACATCTACAGGTTCTGTCTTCCTTTCTAGACTCATCATGAAAAGCTTTGAAAAGTTAATACTAAATTTTAAAATTTGAATAAAAGTTAAACTTGGAGATAATATCTATTTTGTTATTAAGTATATTATAAACATTTATATTAATGAACTATAGTACAATCATAGCAAGCATCCGTGAACATTTAACAAACAACTGTTAATTTCTGAAGCAGAAAGGAACATGAGTAAAAGTTCAGGTTATACTTTTAAAGTGAAAGCTAATTATTTATTAGCTTAAGAAATACTTTACGTTTGATTTCCTATATGGAAATATTGATTCCACCTAGTTGTCTGCTGGAAATTAAAAATAATTCAAATACTTATAAAAGAATATTTGCCTTATTTACTCTTGAACGCTAATAACAATATTTACAATCTTATCAAGGGCAGTGCTTTCTATTAACCAATATATGTCCTTGGCAATGTTGCAAATAGAATCTAAATTACTGAATAAATTTTCTAATTGTTGATGACTGCTTTTTGTTTTTTAATTGATTGTATATTTTGGAATTTTGTAACTACCCTGAATCTCAGAAATAAATTGCTTTGTTAATTTTCAGGGCTTTTTAAATCTAAGTAAAATGGATTCTAAATATTGTGGAATAAAAACAATTCTAGATTTCTTCCATTCTCAGAGATTACCTAATCTTCTTTTATCACTTATTATAGAGGATTTTTTTCACAGTGATGTATTATTAAATCTTTACTATTGTAATCTTTTTTCTCTTCCAATTTCTCAAGGAAGTGTACCACAAACATCTTAGGAAACTCTAGAGAACTTTTAAACTTTAACGCACAGTAAGTTTTATTTTAAAGCACTTTGGAAGGAAGGAAGGAGGGAAATGTACTGACTGAACCAAGGTGGCCTAATATTTTATAAGCTTAGGAGAAAAAATTCCGTTTTTCCCTCCAAGACACATTTCCCTGAAAACATGTTTTTTTTGTATTTAAAAAATAGAAATCTTTGTTACTTTTGGAAAATACTTTTATAAAGGTAAAAATGTTTTCCAAATTTAAGTCTGGACATCTCAATTTATTTTAACATTGAGAGTTAAGAAGCTATTCCAAAAGTACATTAATTTTACTTCTCAGATGAAATCAATGTAGAAATATTTAAAGTTGGAACATGGTGCCTTTGGAAGTCCAAACTATTCTGCTGGAGATGTGGCAAGACCTTGGAGGCACTCCATGGAATGAAGGGCTACGTAGGGAATAACTGAAGCACCCCAGTCAATAGCACCAAAGCCCCAGACAAGTGAGAGAGACCTTCCTAAACGTTTTAGCTCAGCTTAGCCACCAGCTGAATGCAGCCACAACAGCAAACCCAGCTAATATCACTTGAAGCAGCTATAGAAAATAGTTGATCTGGATGTCACATAACCTCTATCTTAAGCAACCAGGTGGTTGACTGAATTTTTTTGATTATCTTTTCCATGATTCTGTTGTACTATGAAAGTGGCTGGACTTAGCCTTTATTTTACAAGAAAACTGAAGGTATGCCAATCATTACTTTTCCCCCCAAGGTTGCTGACATTAGGTCTTTAAATTTAATGTGCATATTAAAAATAATGAGTAGCATATTCCTCATTGAAGTGGGCTTGCAAAATGTTAAAAATAACCTTTTTATATGCACTTATTAGTAATAATAAGAAATATTTGGTATTTCAAATTTCAGTGCCCTAAAAAGCCTGGCGTAGTATATATATCATTCTATATATAAGGTTTTAATTATGGCTTTAATTATGGTTTTAATTATGGTAACAACTGACTGTAATTATATGACAACCAGTCAGAGTCTTTTAGAGGCAGTGATTTTGGATAAACAGCTGCTCCTTTTTCTACCCACCTATATTAAGATCTTTTTTCCAGGTGCAATGGATTGAATGCTACCCGCCCCCCATTTCTCCCACCCCCGAGCTCTGCCCCAATTCAAATGTTGAAATACTAATCCTCAGTGTGATGGTATGGAAGTGGGGGCCTCTGGGAGGTGATTACATCATGAAAGTGGACCCCTCATGAATGTGTCTAGTGCCTTTATAAGAAAAGAAACCGGAGCAATAATCTCTCCTTATATTGGTCAGAACTATTCCAGATACACACCCCAAACTAATCATTGTCAAGGGCTGCCCTATCAGTATTTGCCTTTTAACTGGATTGACTTCCTTGAAGGGATACATATCTGAATGAAGCCACATTTTTTTTTTAAACAAAGAGGGAAGGAAGAAGGGGATGGTTGTTGGGCAGACTAATATTTTTTCAAACTTCAGGTCACAACCCATTAGAGGATCATAAAATCAATTTAGTGTAATGTAACTGACATTTTGAAAAATTAAATAAAATGGAATAAAATAAAATAGAAATAAGCTCATCATACTTAGTAGGTACCAACATGATTTGTGAAACTTACATTTGAGTTATGTGTGTGTACATCCAGTCATGATGTAAAATGAACCTCTTAGCATTGGTCAAAGTCAAAGAGTTTGAAAGCCAGTTGAGTAGACAGCCAGCTGTGTCTGCTGTAGGCAATCCCCACTGTTCTTCTGAAAATTAGTTAAGGGAATATCTGCATTCAATGATCGTTCCCTACAAGACATGATGAGGCTTAGCAGATAAAAGAGATCTAAGAGTAAAATCTGTCTAAAATACGTGAACTATCTAAAATACGTGGGCTTATATAATTATTTAAGAAAAAACTAGATAATAATAAAATCTAATAAGAAAATGCCATCTAATGAGAGATTATACACCCAGAATTTTACATATTATCTCTTTTAATTTTCTCAATATCCTAAGGTTCCATATTATTCTCATTTTAAGATTAGAAAAAACAGCCAGACGAATCTCAAAGAGGTTGAGTAATTTGATGAAACTCACATAGCAAATAAGTGAGAGAACTTGGATTTAAAATTACATCTTTCTGATTTAAAAAGGTTCAAGCTTATTGATTACATTAATCTATCTCCCCAGTGCTCAAATGCCTCCAAACAATTTATCATTGTAGCAACAGTTTTATTCTACGGAATAATGACAGTGTTAATTTAAAACCATTCTAAAATTATGCAAGCAAAACAACCACATAAAATATTGAATATCTGATAAAGAAAGGAAATAAAAAAACATAGATTTCAAAGTAATTAAGGCTATTCTGTTGATGATTTCAAAGTGAGTCATTGATCATCTTCCTTATTTTTAGTTGATATTTTCCAATCAGTGCAAGAATAATGACATACTCTATTTTATTCAGATCTAGGCGTATGATGCAGCCAATTTTCTGATTACAGACCATTGGCCAAGTAAGTATTTGTGTTGATATAAAAAGAAATTTTGCCTTAACTACAAATTTTAGACATAAAGTAGAAGTTTTCTTATGTCAGGAAATGAGCTGGTTATATATTTAGAACTTTTGAAAGCTCTTATTTCATTTTTTTTACATGTATAGATTTGGAGCCCATTTGTCTGCATGAACAGTTGGATACAAATAGTTTTATTACTGAGTGCTTTAAAATGAAGAATGTTTCCCTCTTGGTGCCTCAAAGAAAGAGCTTAATACTGGCAAACTTTCCCTGTTTTACCTACTAAAATAGAACATGTGCTACAGCTATTAGAAAGAACTGCAGTTTTATGAATATAATAAAACAAAAAAGTAAAATCAATCACAAATAACCATTAAGTATGTTTTTACCTCACCAAAGATGTAGTCCTGTCTGACTGGAAATCCTGTGGTTTCACATTCTAAAGTGAGAGTTGGATGTACAATGATAATATTGGGAGTCTGATCTTTTGCCATTATCAGCAATGTTAATCTTGAGAATTTTTCCTCTTCATTTGTGTTGAAAGATTAATAAATTCAGCATAATTAAGATCACTAAGATGATGCAAATATGATTTTTAATTTTTCTAGTACATGTTAATTGACTCAAGTGTACAGAGTATGTTACATATAACAGAGTTACAAGAAGCTAACATTCTACTAGAAGCTTACCTTCCAAGAAGGATACAATGCCCATTTAAATACCACAGCTACAGAGAATTCAGTCATTCTTAAGGTAGATTGTTTAAGAGAACGTGTTAAGCCCATTTGGCTGCTTCTAGCTATCTAGCTTATTCTCAGCAGCTATTGTTATACTTCCAAGGATATCAGACCACGTTAATAACACCCAGAAGAACATATTTTGAAAAACAAGTTTATTAAAAAACAAAAATTGAATACATTTGAAAATCAAATTGCACTTATTCATTCAACAAATATTTATTGAGCATCCTCTGTATATCAGATGTATCCACTATGTTTGTGACAGTTTTAAAATTTTGGTTTCCAAATGCTCATTGCTAGTATTTAGAAATGTGATTTTATATATTGGCCTTGTATGCTGTGAATTTGCTAAACTCACTTATTAATTATGTGAGGTTTTTTTTAAGGTTTCTTGGGATTTACTACATAGACAATCACATCATCTATGAATAGAGGCTGTTTTGTTTCTTCCTTTCCAGTAAGTATGCCTTTTGTTTCTTTTTCTTGCTTATAATTGAGTTGGCCAGGACTTCCAGTATAATGTTGGACAGAAGTGTGAGAGCAGACATTGTTTCCTTGTTCCCAGTGTTAGGACGGAAGAATTCAAACCTTCACCATTAAGTATAATGTTAGCTGTAGGTCGTGTGCACATGTGTATGTGCGTGTGTGCACATGTTACCCATTATGAGGTTAAGGAAGTTCCTTTCTGTTCATAGTTTAAGAGGTTTTTTTAATATATTGAATGGAACTTGAACATTATCAAATGACTTTTTTGGGTCTATGAGGTTTTTCTTCTTTAGTCTGTTTTAATGGTGAAATACATTTTTCTAATTGTATTTTCTAAGGTTGCACAAGCCTTGGACGAGGCTATTCCGAGGATAGACTCCTCTTGGTTGTGATGTATTGTCCTTTTTACTTATTGCTAAATTGGATTTACTAATATTTTGTTGAGAGTTTTTGCATCTCTCTTTGTGGGCTATATTAGTACATAGTTTTTTTGTTCTGTCTTTCTCTAGTTTTGGTATCAGGGTAATACTGGCCTCCTAAAATAAATTGGAAAGTGTTCCCTTCTCCTGTGTTTTATGGAAGAGTTTGCGTAGATTTTGTATTCCTTCCTTCTTAAATATTTGCTAGAATTGACCAATGAAACCATCTGGGACTGGAATTTTCCATTTTGGGAAAGTTTATAAGTAAAATTCAATTCTTTCATAGGTATAGGAAAATTTAGATTAACTGTTTTTTGTTGAGTGAGTTTTGGCAGCTTGTCTTTTTCAAGAATTGGTCCAACTCATGTGACTTGTGGACTTTGTGCGCAGTGGGTTGCTCGTGGGATTCTCTTATTATCCTTTTAATGTCTATAAGGTCTACAGTCCGCTATTTTTCCTTGATCAATCTGGGTAGAGGTTTATCAATTGTAATGATTTTTCAAAGAACAAACTTTTTGTTACTTTGATTTCCTCTTCTTTTTATTTAATCAAGTTATTGATTTATGCTTTTATGTTTATTGTATTCATCCTCTTTTTTGCTTGCTTTGAGTTTAACTTGCTTTTTTTCTAGTATTTTAATATTGAAACTTAGATTATTGATTTGAGACCCTTCTTCTTTTCCAATATAAGCCTTTAATGCTATAAATTTCTTTCTAAGCGCAGCTGTAGCTGCATCCTACAAATTTTGATATGTTGTGTTTTCATTTTCAGTCAGTTCAAAACAATTTACTATTTCCTTTCAGACTTCCTCTTCGACCCGTGGATTATTTAGCAGTGTGCCATTTAATTTTCAAACATTTGGGGATTTTCCAGAAAGTTATTGTTATTGATTTCTAATTTAATTCCTTCTGATCAGAGGACAAATTATGATTGTTCAATTATTTATAATTTGTTATGCTTTGCATTATAGCCCAGGATATGCTCTATCATCATGAATTTCCACATGCCCTTGGAAAAAATGTATATTCTGCTGTTGTTGGAGTTTCCTTTAAGTGTCAGTTAAGTTAAGTTGGTTGATAGTGTTGTTCAAGTGTTCTATAATCAGTGAGAGAGATAGGTTGTAGTTAGCTTACTACCTTTTGGCCAGCACTAGAAATTTTTTTTTCCTTCTTTTTATTTTTTGGTAAGGAAGATTGGCCCTGAGCTAATATCTATTGCCAATCTTCCTCTTTTTGCTTGAGGAAGATTGTTGCTAAGCTAACATCTGTGCCAGTCTTCCTTTATTTTTTGCATATGGGACATCGCCACAGCATGGCTTAATGAGCGGTGTGTAGTTCCATGCCCAGCATCCAAACCCATGAACCCCAGGCTGCCGAAGTGGAGTGCCCAAACTTAACCACTACACCACCAGGCTGGCCCTAAGCAGTGGCAATTTAAGTTGGATTTTGAACCCAGATTTTTCTGACTGCTAAATTGATATTCTTTCTATTATGTCATAATGAAGCATTTAAAACTTCTAAAAGCTCTAAAAATCCCTTACATATTGTGCAACATAATACTTGATCCTAAATTCATCTTTATGCTGCAAGTAAATTTTATTTTGCTTAAAAGGGAAAGTCAAAACCTACTTAGGAAATGTCCAAGTTTTCCTTGTTCTTTGCAAATAGACTTTAAACATTTCATTTCTTTGCTCCTTGTAAACAGGCTTTACCTATGTTTAATAGTATATCTAAATTTTAAAGGTATCCTCTTCTGACTATCTCTTTTAAACAATAATAGCTAGATTCATTTCCTTTTGGAATCAAAGTGTTACTTCTCCTTAGCAGGAAATCTGAGCCATAGTGAAGGAAAGAAATCTGTTAAATTACTGCATCTGCTGTTGAATTTGAGCTTTTATTTCCTTCTGACTGACCACTCTTCTGTGCTTTCTTCCATTCATTGTGAGTTAGAGAGGCAGCTGATAGTCCTGTTTCTCAGTCTTAAAAAAGATAAACAAGAAAAGAAAACAACCAGAAAATATTCCTTTTTCATAAATACAAATATCCCACACTCTCCTTCTATTACATTTAAATTTTATAAATATATAAACATTTTGACTTAAAAAAATTAATACTAATTTTAGATTTTTTTTCAAATTCTTTATGTTCCCCTTTCCTGTGATTCATATACACTCCCTAAAGGTGAGACACCTTAGGTTGGAAGTGCAAATTATTTCTCCCTGCCAGATTCACCTATACCTGTCCATCTGGGATCTTTTGACAGTCTTCTTGTTCCCATCAAAGTCTTGTTCAGCCTAATTGGTCAGACTGTGGCTCATCTGTATATCCAGAAATAGAGCAGACTCCACCATCATAAATGGTCTCCTCCCTTTCCCCTTGTAAACCCATGCCTTCCAGAAAGGAGCAGGACACAAAGAAGCCAGCTAGTCCATACAGAAGTGTGCAGAGGAGTCACCCATGTAACAGCCCATGAGGACAACTAGAGACGGGTCAGAGATGGTTGGCCAAAGGCTGAAGGCCAAGCAAACTCCCTGGGGCAGGGTAGGCATCACCAGCAGGTCACTAGTAATCAGAGACTTTCTTCTCTGCTGTTTGTTATGATAGTGAAACCATGTCTGGCTCTGCTACCAAGTCTGCCATCATTTAAGCAGAACGAGCAGAGAGACTATCAGACAAGTCTATTCTTTAACAGGTACCTTCCCCAAATACTTACTATAATATTGAGAAAAATTAACATGACATATTATTTCAATGGGTCATATTAACCCCTCTCTTCTTTCTCTTAAGTTGTTTTAGGATCTTGAGTGTATTGGCTGTGGGATGATGCAGGATATTTTTAAAGATTTTTCCTAAAATTTCTATAGTGTTACATAAAAATGGAAGAAAGGAAGGGAGCAAGAGAATGGGCCAGGGTGAGAATGAGAGTATGCGTGAGACTAACAGCTTGGCATATTGTAAGCCTGAGATCAACATTATTTCTTAATTGATGTTCTTGCCTCCACGTCCGTTCTCCTCTAATTGAGCTTCTTCTATGCCAGAGTCAGTCCTTAAAGTGCAAAGCTAACCATATTGGTCCTTTGCTGAAAACTCTGTAGAGGATTAAATCCCTCCACGATCTGACTCCAGTCCTCTGCTCCAGTCTCACCACCTGCCCCCCTTCACCTATGCTTAGTCAGTTTTCATCTCCTTTGAATTTCTGAAGAACACTGGGTTATGTCATTCCTCTGTGCCTTTGCATTTTGACTCCTTTCTGGCATGTCTGGTCCTTGTCTTTGCTGGCCGACTATGCTGTAACACATCCTCTGTGACTTCTTCCCAGACCACACATTCTGTGAGAGTTAATAATTTCTTCTTCTGCAAAACATTGTACATAGTACTTTCTTTATAATAAGTAATTATAACTTACTTGTTGCATAATTATATATAATTATAGTTATTGGTTTTGCATTTGTTGTACCACTGATCTGTGAACTCCTTGTGGGCAGGAACAACGTCTTATTTGTCGTTTTGTCATCTGTATCAAACCCTGTGCCTGGTACATCATAAGCTTTTAGAGAATGTTGGTTGATGTTGATCTACATCAAATAGAGCTGTAATAAGAAGTCACCATGCTGTCTTTCATTTTGTAGACTCTTATGCTCAAATATGCAGCTGTGTTGTGCTATTATGATACGTAATTTACCTGCTCTAAAAAAAACAACTCACAACATTATTTTAGGCGATAGCTGGGTCAAACAATCATGTCCTCTCTTTCCATTGGAATAAGATTTCCCAAGGGAAAAATACAATGATCAGAAGCCTCTTACATCAGTCTTTTATATTTAGGGGGAAAAGGGATTTGCAGATTTTTCCAAAAGCCAGTTAGAAAAATTAAGCCCCTCTGCAATGTGATACTTCTAAAAATAATGCCCAGAGGAACGGCAGTTCTAGAGAATACTAAATCCAAATGTGGCTAGATTCCATCTTCATTTTGGAAACAGCCACAGCTGTGGCCAGCCCAGTCAGACAATGGAATGCAGTTGAGGATTTGATATGGGGGGAAACGAAAGGGAACTAGGTTTCCTGCCCTGAGGCAGTTGGCAAATAGTCCTTGGGCCCTCTCTCCCCCCTGTCTCCCACCCCCAACCCACTCCTCATCACCTAGGAAATATATTAGTGATCTGAATAAGATCTGGCATTTGGAGTCTGTTTGTACTCTTGGGAATATTGTGGTCAAAGGATCTTAAAAAATCTAAGATGACAGTATTATACTGTACATCTCTAACTCACTCCAAGTATGGACAAGTACCAAGTTAAGCCACAGAGAAATGCTTTCCTTCTTTTTAAAAATTTTCTATAAATGGTATTTTGCAATTTGAGACAAAAGAAACACAGTAGTTCCAACTTCATTATGCTTTCCTTTCCCAAAAATATTACAAGATTGTTTGCCTGCTGGAAATGACACACTGGTCTTAACCAACAACGTTTTATAGAGAAGATAATTTCCAGGCCTATCTTCTGCATCTGCCTTGTACTCTACCCACCTCTCCCGTCCCTTTATTAAATCATCAAAA